ATCTTGGGTAATTACGACCCAGTCATTGGGTATATCAAAAATTGTGAGTGGTCTCGCTGGTTTGCGAAGCGAAATTTGCGCAACCAACTCGGGAACAGAACCGACGCCTTCGATTCACGCGAATAAATTCCACTAGTGGAAAATTGGATTTATTGTTGGGACTCAACACTTAGCCTTTAAGAAGATACGATAGGATTGGGTGAAAACAATCGACTTGAAATGTAAGAAACACACTAAGAGCTGGAGCACGAACTAACTGAATAGATAGGGAATATCACAGACTTGAGGAACAGGGGTGGCGCCAGCGGGGAGGAGGCAGGGCTACCTCCCCCGTCGGGGAGAGCTGGCCCGCCCGTTGGGGAGAGCTGCCCCCCGGTTGGGGTGAAAAAGCACAATTCGTCGGTGAGAAAAAAAAATTACATGTATTTTCTACATATTATTGGACTCTAAAATCGATTAAATATCTGAAACCCCTAAATTGTCAAATTTTTCGGGGGCTTCGCCCCCAGGACCCCTTTTGTAATCTTTAAATCGAAGCTCGACCACACCCACATTGGTTTCGTCGTGGAAATCTGACCCCTCGTCGGGGCATCGGCCCCAGCTGCGTCGGGGACCTCGGCCCCGTCGGGCAAATCCTGGCGCCACCCCTGTTGAGGAACTCATCAAGAAGCTGGTGAGATAGGTGAACAAAATGGACCTTTGAGGAGTACCAATCAAACCAAAGACAGTAAATAGGCTATTGGTTAAAATTTTTCCACACGAATAAAATAGACGAGCGGTACTGGGTAAAGACAACACAATAAAACATTATGCTTAATTGTATTTAGTAAAATAAATTAAGTTTAACGACATTAAGGAAGAAACATAGGAAGAACAAAGCATAGGATTAGGAAAGAAATTTGGAGCGGCTGAAATATTTTCCGAAAATAAACAATAATACTGAATTATTTTGTCATTATTGCATCACGTTTTTGTGAAAGTTTGTTGGCACTATCGTCAAGGTGCCGGCAGCCTACATGTTTCATATAGGCCTATTCGACATCGAACACTAGAGTGTCTTTACCCAGTAGGCCTACCGTTCGTCTATAATTATTCGTGTGTTAAACTTTTAACCTATTTTACCTATTTTTATTTATGTTTTTTGATCGAACTTAACAACTGAGCAATCATAACAGAATCAGAAACGTGCGTGTGTGTGTGTGTGTGTGTGTGTGTGTGTGTGTGTGTTTTCCTTCAGGGTATAAGAAGCCCGACCAGGCGCCCTCTTTAAATAAATGAGGCTTAGGGAGTGGAGTTGTGATAGAGTTGTGAGGAAAAGTCCTGCTGTCTCAGGTTGAACCCAGGACCATGGAAAGGCAAGCATCTTACCACTAACCAATTCAAGTCCATCCCACACGGCGGCTCACAGTGGGCCAGGGCGAAATCAAAGTGTGCCAAAAGTCCATTTTGGTGACTATGGATTTTACACTTTTTTTTCACATGATTGAAGATGGGTATACCCTGGTGAATCTATCCTGAAAATATTTTACATTTAAACGAATTTTAAGGGTGGTATTTTTCAAAAAATGTTGGAAATTTCTCTATAAATATTTCAAATGCTATAATTGACTACATTATATCAAAACACGTTTTTTTTCTTACAGAAAATTAGGAATTACTTCAAAATGTACACGCTTCTTGTATATAAATTGGGGAACACAAATATATGTTTTGGTTCAAATTTAAGTTTGCATCAATAATAAATCGCTGTTTAAACGACAGAAAAAATATTTAATCCAAATATCATATATCATCATAATAAAGATGTGATATCACAATCAGGCCTATATCTAGGCGTCAATTGCTTTTAACTTTATTCAGAGACATCCAAGACTTTGAAAAGCTTCCTGTTTCAACTACTACGTACCTCTCTCCTTAATTATGATATTTGGATTATTAGACTGCTCAAAATTTAATTAAGTATTCTAAACAGTAACAAAATATTAGAAGATTTGCTACTGTTAAATCACGAGCAGTTTGTCAATTTCTGGAGTGCTTTCCTACGCTTCGCATGAACTGGTTGAGTAGACGCGCGTACATCCCTCTTATTTTGCGGTTTGCTCTAATTAAATCCCGACATTTGAAGTGAGTCACCTTCCCAGCAAACAATAATATGTTATGATATGCTGGAAAAATGATGACACTTTTATACCTGCTGTGATTTCAGAATATGCAATTCTCAGTGAAGTAAACAGGTGTTCTACAACCAACAGTGATAATATCATATACGGTATATCATATAATACCAGATAAGGTATTAAGGTGACTGGAGACCAAAATAGATGTATTGCTTCTCCTTGAATTTTTACCTCACTTGTTGAATATCTTTCGTGTGGACAAGGCATAGTGTACCTGGTCATTACCACCTGTCTCTTATACACATCTAGATGTGTATAAGAGACAGGCTTATTAGTGGGGTCCCCCCCCCCACTTTGAAAAACGTTCCGCCGGCCCTGTAACGTTACAGTTTTGTGTTGAAAACTTTCTCTGTATAACCATAAATACGTACTGAACATAATTTCACAACGTTTGCACGTTCTTAGCGTTGTGTACCCACAAGAGACTTATATACAACCATGGAGGTATTATAGGTATAATACCTCCATGAAAACCCAAACCGGAACGTTCACGACAGATGAAACATTGTCCATGAGCTCTATAGTAAAATGGGACTCCTTGCACCATAATAAGAGTAGCAAAAAAGCATTGTTATAATCCTGGTGGTACAGTTGTCAAAGAGGACAGCAAAAGTTTCTCTTCAAAGCCTCCTCGTTCACACTGCACTGAGAATTATCGAAAAAAAAAACATAAAACGACCATTATCGATACTTTTACAATACTGTATAGGCCTAATATGATAGAGGACAGAATTAATATATCATGGCATTGGTGTAGGCCTAATGTCTGCTAATTCCATGGAATCTCAGATCCAAACACATTTTACATTAAAAAAAATGTAAAATTAGGTTGTCTGGTATTTATATGAATTTTGATTCCGATTTCGATTTATTAAAAAAAAAACCCAAAACAATTATATTCACTGTAAAATTAACAATAGAAATTTTAATGTTGGTCTATGCCTAAAACACTTTTGGCCCCGTCCAATCAGAAAAATGTATTTTGATATGACGTAATGGAAAATACAAAAAGTTTCCCACAGAAATTCTTTTGTCCCAAACCCCCTTAAACAAATCATTGTATATGAACTTGTTTTGGTATTCAATGGAAACTGACATCGTCCAATCAGAAAACGGTACAAAAATGACGTCGTATAAATTTTAAAATACTTTTATTGAATTCTACGGGTATGAAAACTTATAGATAAGTCTTGTATTCGCTTATATTAGCTTCTGTAATGAGTAATTTTGTACACTCTGACTTCAGTCTGGCCACCAACTGTGCGGCGGTACAATAAACACATACATATTTTAATATTCATGAGAGAATTCGCTGTAGCGTGACCATATAGAATATTGAAACCAATCAAATTCATAACCTCGTCAATCAAAGAGTATAAATACATGTATTTCGTTTCTTCTGTACAAGGAAACCTACCCTACCCTAGCACAGCACCAGCATCAGTTATTAATAATTATAAAGCGGCCTAGGCCTAGTAAGTATGACTAGTATTATTAAACACATGGCGTAGACGGTAGAGGCCTAGCTAGGCTAGGCCAGCTAATAATGCCTGCCTAACCTACCTACTACTAGGCCTAGCTAGGCCTACCTGTGTAGGCCTAGGCTAGGCCCTAGGCCTAGTAGTAGATAGACAAATTAAGAATTAAAAGTTAGGTGCAAAACTGCATTAGCCTTAGCACCGGGTTGTGTTTCTCGACGGCAGGACAACGCCCCCACCCTCAACAGACAGGCCACTCAATATGGATAGGCCTTTTCCACGAATCGGTAGACAGTTGTGCATAACCAACAGAAATAAGATATGCTTTTGGGCTGATTTTCTGACATCGTGTTATTTTAAAAAATCATAAATAACGAGGCGCTGTATATCCAAACTTTTTTTCCAGTAAAATGTTCTTAAAAGACTAGTCTACACCACTATATGAAAAAAATTGAAAAATGTTTTTGACCTCTGAAATCAAGATGGAAAAAGAAAATCCTATCTAAGCATAAGTAGTTAAAATAGGTGCATGGTGCAGTAGTAGGACGTACTACTAGTAATACTCTGGACTACTGTAGCATTGTTTTAGTTACCATGAGAGTTTCCTGTGTTAAAAACATGATTTACTATACTATACTTCTTTATAAAACATAACTTGATGATAATGATCCAACTCTTAAAAAACTTTTGTTATTGCTGATTATGTTAAAGTATGTGTAGTTTTCAACATAGTATCAAACCATGAAGGAGCTGAGTACCAAAGCTGAAGTTTGGTGTATAAATAGATCTAATATATCTGATTAACTGCTGTAAATTTAAGAAAAGATTTTACCTGTCCACATGACGAACCTTTAATAAGAACATAGGCTTTTTTCACCTTTTTTGCGGTGGTCCCAACTTTGAATGGATGCCATTCCATTTTAATTCATTTGATAAGCCTGTGCTTGCTTGTGGCTAGAGACAACTACCCATAGATAATATATCTGTAATATAAGATATATACACCCACTCATATGGACACAGGGTGACCTCGAAAATCATAAAAAAATTGCGTTGTTGCGCTGTACTATAACTTTAAAGGTTTTTCTTTATGCTCAATACACATAACAACGCTCCACACAACCTCCACCTACCGACAGCACTTAAACATTGCCAGCTATTGTCAAGTGGTTTATTGCATCATTGATACTCTCGTTTTTAATCATATAGTGGTGTAGACTAGTCTTTTATGAACATTTTGCTGGAAAAATGATGACACTTTTATACCTGCTGTGATTTCAGAATATGCAATTCTCAGTGAAGTAAACAGGTGTTCTACAACCAACAGTGATAATATCATATACGGTATATCATATAATACCAGATAAGGTATTAAGGTGACTGGAGACCAAAATAGATGTATTGCTTCTCCTTGAATTTTTACCTCACTTGTTGAATATCTTTCGTGTGGACAAGGCATAGTGTACCTGGTCATTACCACCAAAAAGTATTGCTTAAATAAATTGTCCTGTACAGATGGGATTATGTGTTTGTTGTTGCTTGGAAAATGTCTCTGTTAACCGTATCTCACCAGCGTCCAAACTATTTATTTATATGATACTTAAGTTAAGTGAACACAGGTCCTTGTCGCCACTGATTACTCACCATGGAAAATGCTCAAGCTAACTAACAATAGTCCTACATTATTTCTATAAATAATTTTTTACACTATTTTTATAGCTTGTTCAATTATAGAAATATCCGGGTGCAAAAAAAACCACCAAAAAACAGTTGATCATGGTGAAGCAAAGACGGTTTGTGTTGGTGAAGCATTTTTCAGGGATGCCGAAAAAGGATGACTTGAAAATTGTGGAAAAAGAGCTGCCAGCTATAAAAGATGGAGGTATCTTACAAGTATTTGAAATTATTATTCATCTTTCACTAATTAAGTTAAGGATTAGGCCTAAGTTGTTATTTAAAACAATCGAATCCTATTTTTATAGACTGAGGACAATTGATATCAATCATCTGTATTCTTATGTTATGGTTTTTAATTAATGTTATTTATGTATTGATTTTCCCCATAAATACACTGTATGAATACTATACTTTTGGATTTTAAAAAAAATAAACAAAACCTAATATGCATATTAAAATTTGTTGTGCTCTGTAAGCTGATTGGAACAAATTGGCTTTTGAAAATAGAAATTGATTTGTAGTAGCAGCTTACACATTAAAAGTTGTCTCTGACATTAAAAAATAAATGTATTCATTTATCCATTTACTTCTTTTATATTTCTTATGCTAGATCTCTACAAATGTGATGCAGGAGTTTCCAAATACCAACTCTAGATCATTCCTAAAAAGAATCCCAATATTTATGAGGTAAATTTTGTTTGTAATTGTTTATACAATAATTTCATTTTGCTTTTCAGAGGTGCTTCTGGAAACCTTGTATCTGACTGTTGATCCATATATGAGGTACAGTACTTTATAAATTTTATTTACAAAGTCCCAGAGAAAACTAGCAGAGATTTGTTTGATTATAACACTGATAGTTCAGTGGTCAGTGTGCACCTTCTTAATCCCCATCGCATTCGTACAGTCTGGCAAAACCAGCCATTTGTAGGGAAAATTCAAAATTGAGTTTTTGGTATTTTTAGATTCTACATTTTTCATCTACAATTTTTCTTATTGAAAGTGTTTGATGGAAATTGGCTGAGTATTAGCAAAGTTATAGATATTAATAATTCATTGGATATCAGCCATGTTGGTTTTGAGAAATCAGCTTAAAAAAATTCCAAAATCTCAATACAGTAGTTTAATATTAAGATTTGTATTTTACAAATAATTTTAATATATTTCTCAGTTAGATTTAGTGATTGATTATTATTTTACAGAAATGTTTTCAATATACCTACTTTTATAAAATGCAAAAACATGACAATGTTAAAAATTCTGATTCCAAACGTTTTGGGTGCTTTGCAGAAAATTACATATTGCGACAAACAGAGGGTTTAGCCAGAGCCGGTCACAAATTCTATTTTAGTTTCTTGACTAAAAAGCGCCTTGTGACGGATTTTACTGTGTAAGGCCCTATTATAAAAATACTTGACCATTTGAAGAATGTTTTTGACAATGCAAAATATTAAGATTAGGTATTCTTTGAATTGTGTGTTTATCTTAATTCATTTTCCTATAAATAATTTTTTTCTTCTTTCTCCTCCTATATATTATTGGTTTTGACAATACAAAATATTAAGATGAGGTATTCTTTGAATTGTGTGTTTATCTTAATTCATTTTCCTATAAATAATTTCTTTCTTCTCCATAAACATCTGCTAGAGATTTTTTGAAATTTGTCCTATTAAGTTTTGATATAATAATCTGCTCAGGCCTCAAATCCTGCAATTGGACAGTCACATCTTATCTTCTAAAATTATCAGCTAGGTGTTAAGAATCCAAGCATGATATTCCAGCATAAAAAACAATTGACTGATGTACTGTATGAACCACAAAGCCTGGCTTATCACCCTGAGTTAGGAAGTACTACATTTTGTTTATTGTTGAAGGCCTTCGCCAGTTAATTGCAGTAACATATCTCATGGGAAAATATGTTGTAGGATAGATCAAAACCTAGTAGAAGCCAGAAATATGTAATTTCTTAGTATTAATTTTGTCTCCAGATGATTTTCTTTAAAATTCTACATAATTTGTTAAAAAAAATAAAGTATTCCCAGAGGTGTGATAATTTAGGGTTAGACCAGCTGGACAGAAGAACAAACTTGTTCTAGGTATTGAGAAATTAAAAGGGGCTCCAAACTTTTGTCATGGTGATTTTATTGCTTTTGGGGCCCCAAGACACTTGTCTGAATAAATAAATGAAATGAAATGAAATGTATGCAATCCCCGATAATTGCCTTAGCAATGCTATCTTAAAATGGACAAATGCCCCTGAAAATGTGCCCAAAATGTCTTTGATATAGTTCCTAAACATATGAAAATTGAAGGTAAATAACAACTATATTTTAGGAATCAGTAAATTAGTAAACCATTAATATTTTTTATTTTCCCTAAAAATTCACAAATCACAAAAGAGAAAAAAATACATCAAATTGGTTGTAAAAAATAAACTAGACAGTGCCAACTCAAAAGTGTAAGCACAAACAACAAAAGACCCAATATCCAATCCAATACTATAAAACTTAATTTTAACGTTGAATTCCTCTCGACTGGGAGAGTAGAGTGGCCGAGCAGTAATTCAGGGGCGCCGTTAACTACAACTTTACCATCAGTACTGGTTCCAGCCTCTCCTCATCCACGATTCAGTTAGTAGAACCAAGTCTTCTCGGATAAGGACTTAAAAAAGTGTTCCAGTGAACACACCTGGCTCATGTGCACTTTAAAGAAAACATTGCATCTTTCGGAAGAGTAGGGGGTTACCTCGATGCTATGGTTCATTTCAGCCCCTGTCATTGTGGAATGTTGTGAACATCTAGCTACTATAAGCACCTCTTTACGGTTTCTAGGTAGTCACAGACCTAACCCATATGCAATTCAGCACAATGAAGCTGTGAGTTATGGGTTATTCTCCTGCCTTTACCCTTTGTATGAACTTTAGAATTTTATACCCAAGATAAGGCCTTAAAAAAAATAGTTTGTTTGCCCTCTAGCGTCAGCCCCTAGCTCATGGAAAAATTGGGACCTTCATTTAAAAATATTTTTTTGATATTTTGTTCACAATTTTTAAAAAAGTGATCTTTTTTCCCCTCCATTTTGCACATGAAGTTGTCTAAATGTGGTGTCTGATGTAAGGTATTCCCATTCTAGGCCTAAATCCATTGCAGAATATCGATGAGTTATTTTTATTCAGTCTGATGAATACCTTTTGAAAAACAAATAGTGAGACAGGCTTAATTGCAAGCATTGCGATTTAATATGTGAATTTTGGCGACAGGAGAAAAAAAGTAAAAAAAAGAGAAAAAATTTTTCCGCCTGTTCTTCCTATACAATTTTTAGAATAAAACCGCACGCAAACAATTTATCTTTTTAGGCCTAAGGCTACTATCTAGTACAGTGATTATTTTTTGGGAAATGTTTTTTTACTTGTCATGACTTAATATATGAGAGAGTATATTTTGAAAAAATAAATGTACAAAAATGAATTTTAGTACATATATTTAGTAAACAGTTTTCTGACTCATGCAAGATAAGATAGTATAATACATACTCCAAGTATCGAAATGCATGCCATCAAGTCGGGATTCAATATTTCGACATTAATTATGTCATCATCAGGAATGAAAAGTTATCCATATTTACAAGCTTATATGCACAAGTACCAAAAGAGTTTGACCAAACAAAACATTACCCCTAGTAGGTGACATAGCTATGAATAAACTAAAGATCAAAGCATTCTTGCCCTACTGATCAAAGCTACCTACAAAAACAAAGAAAGCTCCTTTGAAGGTTTCAGCGCATTGTTAAGCAATGGGTGTAGCCCACGTATAGCAAACACTTCTGTAAACAATAGTATAGACCAACTCTGCAAGTTAACTTTATTTAATTATACGATAATTAGCGAGTACTTTAATTGCTTCTGGATATGAAAGGTGTTTGTATAACTTTTTTGCTGACTCATGCAAGATAACTCGGGTTGTTCAGCATTGCCAACATTTTCACAAGTGTGCAACAGTATGCTAAGCATGGAGGTGGGGTAGACAAATTTGTACACTCTTACATGCATAAAAATATTGATTCAAAATAACATGCAATATGTAAAATAATGGTAAAATTATAATGTAACCTTTGCCGACTCATGCTGTAATTTGCAAAGTTATTAGTTTTACTATTCAGTTTGTTGCAATACTGTAATGTAATAATAGTGAAATATGCACTTATTTTGTGACACATCTGCTCAATACATTTCTATTATACCCAAGGAGTACGTGACATTTATTTTTTAGGACTTGCACCTCCCACATTCTTCTCAATACAAACAAATTTATGGATTTCTTAGAAAATCCTAAGATTGAAAGAGTTTATAATTATTCTCTAAAACTTAACACATGTTATCTCTGTAGCTGCAGGATAAGAAAGTAAGAACTGCTGCGGTATTTATTACACTTCGGTCTGTAAGCTGTCAGTTTACTTTTGTAGATAGAAACTTTGACTACTGTATATTTAAAATACCTTTGATTCATTAATATTTCGTAAACATTTTTGCTGACTCATGCAAGATAACTTTATTAAATTACGATAATTAGCGAGTGCTTTAAGCGCTTCTGGATGTGAAAGGTGTTTGTACAACTTTTTTGCTGACTCATACAAGATAACTTAGGGGATATTCAGCATTGTCAACATTTTCACAAGTGTACAAACAGTCTGGTATGCTAGCGGAGAGGTTGGGTAAACAAATATGCACACTCTTGCATGCATAAAAATGTTGATTCAAGATAACATGCAATTGTTAAATAATGGTAAAATTATAATGTAACCTTTGCCGACTCATGCTGTAATTTGCAAACTCATTAGTTTTACTATTCAGTTTGTTGCAATACTCTAATGTAATAATAGTGAAATATGCACTTATTTTGTGACACGTTTGCTCAATACATTTCTATTATACCCAAGGAGTACGTGACATTTATTTTTTAGGACTTGCTCCTCCCACATTCTTCTCAATACAAACAAATTTATAGATTTCTTAGAAAAACCTAAGATTGAAATAGTTTAATAATTATTCTCTAAAACTTGCACATGTTTTCTCTGTAGCAGTGTTACTAAGCTAGAGGAGTATTACCCTTGAAAAGGGGGTTTGGGGAGAGGATAAGAAGACGAATTGTAGTTTAGGTAATGAGGTGATATTTTATTATTTATTTTTTTATTTTTAAATAAGATTTATATAGCGCACATAATATCCAGGAAACTGGTCAAGGCAATTTTTCCCTGGTTATTCGATATAGGATCAATCATTCATAGTGTGCAAGCCTATCTGCTTCTGTTATACTCTTTGGTTGTAATGATACAATGTAGACAACCATTTGGGTTCATAACATTTATTAATATCAACAACAAGAAACATGCATACTACAAATTGGCTGTTTCATGTGTACAGACACCATGTTGAAGCTATCTCTGCCTTGAGGGCGGAGTACCAATTCATGAGGGCAGCAAACACATAAACTGACTTACAATAGCCCTCCCTGGGGGGTATTCCTAGTTATGCGGTGTAATCAGCAGTATGAATTTCATTCAGAATCATCCACCTCCTATTAACTGGTACCCGTTTATAATCCTGTGTGAAGGGAGGCAAATGCAGATAAAGTGTCTTGCCAAATTGACAAAAGCAGTGTGACAAGCATCAGTCTCGAACCCCTGATCTTCTGATTGAAAGCCCAGTGCCTGACACGCTACACCACATGCTTCCACTATTTTAGAGTTCATCCTGATTTAATACAAAACGTAGGCGTGTTAAGATGCCTCGCAGTCAGTGTCTGATATTTCTATACAATACAGTACTTTATTTACAGACAAGGGTTTATTTGTTGCAGGGTTTGCTATTAACCGATTGCTATCATGGAATAGTTATGCCCCCTTGTTGATATCTACTTCTGGTTTTGCTAAATTTGTGCTGTTGGCATTTAACTTGGCAGTATTAAAAAGGATCTTTTCCCTCTGTATTAGCTCCTTAAGAAAATGTAATCAGGCATGCCATGACACAGAAAAATGCTGGTACCTTTTATACTGAATAAACGGATACAGTGTGGCTGCAATAAAGAGTTACTGTAAACAAATTGATAGCCACTTTAATCTCCAATCAATGAAGCTTTATTGTTGTCATCTTCATTTGAACTCACTGTCACGCTATGTACTTCAAACTGCATACGTCTACTTGTGCTTTAACTAGTCCATAGCACCAGTCATGGGAGTGGAACCGCTAGGGAGCCCTGTACCCCAGTTTTGCTTACCCCCTCCCAGTTTTTCCAGAATTAATTTATTTTTATTACATTTGTAATAAAAATACTCGGCATTTAAATAAAAAGAAAACAAGCACATGGAAAGAAGCGTTACCTGTTAATGTGTTTTGTCAAGTTCTGGTCATGGGTAGAAGTTGTCATTGGTGTGAACAAGGACCCCACTGGAAATAAGTCTTCTTCTAGACTTTCGTGGGCTATATCCTTGGTGTTTACACTGAATAAATCCATTCCATTCTTAATTGCCATGCTCGATCCACACGATAATTATATTAAGCTTTGTCAACACTAACCAATTTTATGTGACAAAAACCTATGCTATGCCCATATTTGGGTATAATATCACATCATCATGCCCAAATATGGGCACATTACAAATTTGTCACATAAAATTTGATAGGTGGACAAAGCTTAATAAGAAGGAAATTTTATGTTGACCATAGCAGTTATCTACTTCAATGGTCTTGTGTCTTTACGCCACTCCAGGGTTTTTCGAGAAGTTGTGAAACCTAGTAATTGTGTACGATTCGGCCCCCTTCTTTGTTGAGAATATCTCATCCGCTGTATATTTATAAAACATAGCATCATCTTCAAAATGTTAATTTAGAAAACATCATTAATTGTGCTTAAAATAATAGTAAATTCAGTTAAAAAATATAAGTGAATAAAAAAGCATAAGGCGTAAGGGATTTTTATTATTCAGTTGTTTGAGTATGCTTACTCCAATTGGTCAGAGATTGCAGTGGCTTGTCTCTCCCCCCTCCCTCCCCAATAAAAAAGAAAAGTTAAGAGCTTGCTCATGATCATCATATCTTGCCAGTTAATGCACCCCCCCCCAACCCCTCCAATTAATCTTTACAGTATACCGAATTGTAGAAGAAAAAGACATGTTGGATATAATAAAGTCATCTTGTCCTCCTTGTGTTGCTCCTACCAGAAATAATTATTGTCTCCAGGTGATGGAGAAAAATATATGTTATATATAGAACTAGGAAATAGGTGTGATATTAATGGCCAAAGGAGCAAGTACAGTATGTTAGATTTCCTGTTTGCTTTCCTCTAAATCATATGTGAACCTGGATGCAAATTGTATGCAGTGTATCTTTAGGTTTAATCAGTATTGCGAATGCATCAATAGTCAATCAGTCACTTGATTAGATAACACATTATGCCATTATGGTGTGAGCTTACGAATACAATACAATTAAATAGAGAAAACAAAAATCACATAAATAACAACAAATAATATGTTCTGCCCTATTAAGTATAATTTAGTTCAATTAAATATTCATATGCTCTAAAAGCCATCAATGGGCTATTATCCACTATTCAAGAAACATTACATTTACATTCAATAGCTAAAAAAAAATTCATTATAAAAAAATTAAGTATATATCAATGTGTTCGAAGGAGAGCAGTATTGATTGAGGCAATGTTGGCAGAAGATGGATCAAGATATAGATGAGCAAAGCTAAAGTGCATATGGTAGAAATTTGAAAAAAAAAAATGGAAAAATTAGGAGCAAAAATACTGGGAAAACATAGTTGGGGGAAAATAGCTAGGAGAAAAAAATCCCTTTGTGAAAGAAGAAAAAAAAAATCTGTGGAGAAAATACTGTATGCAGGTGGCAAGTAGCTATAGTGCTGCTATTTTCTGTAAATTAAAGCACCTCAAATTTGAGTCTACTCAATTAAACAAAGCTTTTGATCCAGGTATAGCTATAACTTATTAATAATATAATCGGCACCAAGGCCAGTGCCTTTGGTGCCTCCCCAATTGGCTTGTATGCCCTAAAAAATTTACCTCTGTTGAGGCCAGTTTGGTCTTGGTGCCTTAAGAAGGCAGTAATACATATGTCTTATTTTGTGATACATTTTTCTTAATGCACTTTTTATATCAATGGTACCATGGACATAACATTGAATTGACATTGCACCTATAGTATGAGATGGCCAGATATCATTTTTCAAATGATGGTTAAATAAAAGTATTAATAATACAGTAATGGCAAATGTGAACTTGCTCCAAAAAACCCCAAATTCGAGGCCTGATTATCCCTGGCATTTGTTGATTGTAGTGTTTAACATTTTTTTTTTTTTTTTTTAGATCTCAGTGGGTTGCCCCTAATCAAAGGCTCGGTGTTTTATACCAGCTTGTGTACAGACACAACATGCACATTTTCATCTGCAATGCCATAGGAGCCATGTTCATACGCCAGATCATTCATAAATGTTGTTAGTGGACATAGCCCAGGGGTTGTGTTTTTGTCTTCACTTATAATTGGAAACACTATTTATAAATTAATTTAATTTTAATATTGGTGTTTCATTTTAATTTTTGGCACAGGCCAGATTTAATGGCTCCATGGACCAAATTTGGCCATCCTTTATTAGAAACAGGGTTTTAAGCCAATTATCTGGTGAGAAGTCTTTGTGCCATTAGGCCAATAGTTGGCATTTTCAGGTGTTGAAGAGTGCCACAATGTATATCAAATCTGCATGCACTCTCATACATCTTTAGCCTTTGTTTGCTTCTGCTGTGTATGCTTAATCTTGTACTTTAATGCCTGTTAAACTCAACTTCATCGTACAACTGTTGTTGAAAGATATAGTATGACAATCTTACGACCGTAGCCCGATGATCCAACTGCACTCCCTGTGAGTGTTAGACGAACCGACACCGTCTGCTAATTATCGTTGCAGTGTAAATGGGCCGTCATAAAAAACTATTCGTTGCGTGCGCATCGTGTCATTGCATTCTTCATAGAATCGCGGTGGCCGACGACCATCGGCCGCAGTGAATGACTGGCTTAAAAGCTGCATTCTTTACAACATTTTATAATTTTGTTTACAGGCCATACAGTTTCAGAATGAAAGAAGGAGACACCATGATTGGAGAAAATATGGCAAAGTATGTTAAAATTCCTTTGATTTTTTTGTTTTATAATCACAATTACAAAGCATTCATGTAGGCTTTTCACTATCATTTCTAGTCTATAGAATGTTGCTAATAAAGCAATAAGGTACAAATAATTTTACTTACATTTTTTAATATTCTAAAAAAAGATGTAACACTAGTTATGAAACTGGTACATATAGTAATTTTAAGCATCTCACATTGGTGGATCGAGGAATTAGAAATTGGGAAGGAGTTTCACAGATGGAGAGTGTCGACTACCTCAACCCCAGCATGGTTGGGGCTGAGGTAAGAAAGGTTATGGCACCTCTAGATTGGTGGGGAATGCACTCAGATCAAAATTTGAATATAATTTTCTCTTTTTCTCCATTTTATGATATATCTGTCTCTTATACACATCTAGATGTGTATAAGAGACAGCCTTTGACCTGTCTCAGTAAATTAAGTTAATTACACAATGTGTTCTATAAATTTAATAACAAGTAATTGGACTTCTTGTGCCAATGAACAATTCTTAGACTTTTGGGTCCTGGAGGATTTGCCCGAGGTCCCCGAACGACGAGGGGTCAGATTTCCCCGACGAAAGCAAAGTGGGCGTGGTCGAGCTTCGATTAAAAGGTTCCGAAAATGGTCTGGGGGTGAAGCCCTTGAAAATGTTGACAATTTAGGGGTTTCAAAGGCATTTGATTTTAGAGTCTACTAATATGTAAAAAATACAAATAATTTTTTTTTCTCCCTGATGAATTGTGCTTTTTCTCCCCCCCCCCAGGAGGGGGGGGGGGCAGCTCTCCCCGAGGGGCCCAGGTAGGTACTTTCACTGATGCATCGTACAACGGTTTGTATCACCCGTGATTATGGCGCCTTTAGATCGGCGGAAATGGCACTCAAAGACTTAAAATTTGAATATTATTTTTTGTTTTTGTCTCCCATTAAAAAAAATTTTGACTCACTTAGGGGGCCCCTTAATCGGTCACTGGATATAATATGATATATATGTTCTAGAGTTACATTATGCCGCCGTGTATTGAAAAAAGCTCTTTTGGATCATGGTGCTAGATCGAGGATCCCATGGGTAGGAATCGGGGTCTCTGTGCATAGGTGTTACACCACTGGTAATGATCTAGTACAATTTTTGGTTCAAAAGGTCTGTCCACATTATCAAATGTATCACATACTGTAAACTTTGTCCACACTGCAGTATTAAATTTTATGTGACAAAAAACAGTGAATTTATAATGATAATAAAAATAATGCATTTATAATACGCCATCTATCTAGGTAAATCTATTCCGAGGCGCACACAAACATACTTAACATGGAAAATAAAAAAAATAAAAAAATGAAAATGATTAATGATTCAAAAGATTCACGATTCCATTTTATAGTCATACACAAAATATAATATAAAAATAAATTAACAGATAGACAGATATAAATATGAAACTATTCATAACAATGCAAAAAATATTAAATTACACTACAGTTAAATTAATAATATACAATACCGTACGCTCGCGAATAAGCTCCCGGTTGCTTAAAATATTTTTGGCTTTTTTTGAGGGGCGCTTATTCAAACGGTTCGCTTATGAAAACTTCGTGGAAATTGAGGGGGCGCTTATGGAAATAGATTAAAATTGAAGGGGTGCTTATGGGAAATTGGAATTTTTTTTTTTCAAATGGTTTTGTTAAAGAAAATGTAATCGTTGAGAGAGTGCTCATGACAAGAATGTTGGGGGCATATACACAGCAGCAGATGAAATTAGTGGTGGTGCTGGTGGTGGTGGTGGTAAGCGTGTTGGCCATCGGCCAATTCAGATTAGCAGGATCATTGCAGGGTTTCTTGCTTAGATACGAGAGTGATGAAGTCAGATTATTTTTGAATGAAAATTAATGGCCATATAGTATTTTAATTTTTAGATATTAAATACTGTAGTTCTAAAAAGGGTAGCAATGAAACAAGAACGGGATTCTAAAGGTGCATCATAACTGAAAACCATGTTAACTGATAGACCGAGACATGGATAGATGGACTTTGACCGACGGACGGTGCTAAGATAGATGCTAATAGTTTATGCAGAAAATTAAGTTGGTGATGTACTGTATAGTATGATTGAATTCTTTTAGGAAACGATGGGCGCTTATTCGAAATTAAGGGAGCGCTTATTCAAACGGGGCACTTAAGACATTTTTCACGTTAGGAAGGACGCTTATTCAAGAGGGGCCCTTATTCAAACGGGGCGTTTATTCGCGCAAGTGCAGTATATACGGTACATTGACAGAAGATCTAAATGAGTTGAACGCCGTAGAGGTAAATGAGTTGAGATGTTTTGACAGTATAAAGAGATGCGACTATTATGTTGTATGCCCATAATGTATTAGCTGTAGTATGACATCATATCATATCAACAATTTGATAGTGTGAATGGAGTTATACAGTTGTGAAAACTATTTGTCATTGGCAGAGTGATAGAGAGCAAGAATTCCAATTATCCAGTGGGAACTAATGTTGTGAGCATGTCGGGCTGGTGTACTCATGCAATCTCCAATGGCCAACAGCTAAGGAAGGTTCCAGCTTATCCTGCTGATCTTCCGTATTCGCTGTCACTCGGAATACTTGGAATGCCTGGGTAAGCTGTCAGTGTTGTCATTTATGCCCCTTGACTTCAAGAACAAGGTGGAACCTGTCTTATAATAAAGAGGAGACTGAAGACAGCACCTCTATCAATAATGAACCCTTAAAAACCCTTATCTATTATTAAGTGCTTTTAACATATAAATAGCAAAACAGTAATGAATCCAACAAAAATTGATGTAATGGCAGGATAAGCCATACTTCAAATGCTGATACAGGGAATGCACCTCACATCATTTTCACCTTAAACTATGATTATTTTTAATTATGATTTGCAGAATGACAGCATACTTTGGAGTGACAGAGATCTTGAAGCCCAAAGCTGGAGAAACTATGTTTGTTAGTGGAGCAGCAGGGGCCGTCGGTGCTGTAGTGGGACAACTTGGAAAAATATTGGTAAGAAATATTACTTATTTATTTGTTCAGGTTTTTGTTTGTTTTTATTTATTTTTTTTTTTTATTTGTTTTTATTGATTTATTTTTTTTGATTTATTTATTTTTATTCATTTATTTATTTTTTTTTTGTGTTGAAATAAAGAAAAAAACTAC